TGACAGTTGACAGCTGTTGTTCTACTAATAAGATTAAAGTAAAGAAATTAGTTGTGCTGACTTTAATCTGCCATTTAACACTGCAAACCACCTGGGGCCTGCTTCAGTGCTGACACTTCCAATTTTAAATAAAAAAATTCTATAACTGAACCTTAGTTAAGAACATGTCTAAATACATTCTAATCATAGCAGTCTATAGTTAACAAGCTTATGTTATCAATTAAAAAAGCCCTCCTTATTGTGAAAAATTAATTTGACATGCATTTGCTTATGCCACACTTTCAAAGGCATTATTTGAATCTTTGGAACTTCACATACTTTTTTGGATGTAGGATTCATTTGGGAAATACAAAACCAGGGTGTATTACTTCAGATTAATTTATTGTACATCTAAAACAGAGGATTCTTCATTTTAGATCTATCTAGAATGACGGTTCTTTTTTGGAATTATTAAATATGCCATCCACTCTGAGCTGTATTTCAATAAGAGAACTACATAATTCTAAACATTGAAATAAATTATCAAGATGTAAAGTTAATCTGTTAACTTCAAATTTCAAGGGTTAGGAAAATGTATTTTCATATTTAAATTAATTGATCCTTCCTTTAGAGCAGTAGGTGAAAGAGCTTTCCAAAAGGTGAGCACTAAAACTTGTCCTTTATATAGTGAAAATAAACATTGCCAGATGTCCTTTATGTTTCTAAGGGTACATCTACACTACAGCGTGGAGTCGGTTTAAGATACGCAAATTTAGCAACGTGAATAGCGTAGCTGAATTCGACGTATTACAGCCGACTTACCCCGTTGTGAAGACGGCGGCAAAATCGACTTCTGCCGCTTTTTGTCGGCGGCGCTTACTACCACCTCCGCTGGTGGAGTTAGAGCGCCGATTCGGGGATCGATTGTCACGTCCCCACGGGACGCGATAAATCGATTCCCGAGAGGTCGATTTCTACCCGCCGATTCAGGCGGGTAGTATAGACCAGGCCTAAGTGTAATAGCCTCATTAATATATGTTGACTTATCTTTGCTGAAAGAAAAATTAAGTCCTCTAGAGCAGTATTTCTCAACCTTTTTGATACCAGGGACCGGCTTGTTGCCTTCCTAAACTGTGTCAAGGAAATCTCAGGGTCCAGTGCCAGTCCATGGACTGG